CCCCAAAACCCCAAAACCCCAAAACCCCTCAATAGTTAAATTGAGATTTCATTTCATATTTGATGAAGTTATAAATACAGATTGAAATGATATTATTATATATATTTATATACTTAGTCTTAAAAATTAAACTTGCTTAGATTGATAATATAATAAAAAGGATTTATGAGTGGAATAGAAGTTTATACTACTAGCGACAGTAGTTTAGAAATCGAAAATCTATACAATTTTAGCTAGCTTTCAGCTGAAGAGGATCCCAGCGAAAAAGATAAGCAAACGCTACTTATTATTAAGATCGTGTTCATCTTTGTCGTGTTCACCATTGATGTCGTTTTTGGAATAATTCCAGCAAAGGTAAAGAGATGTAAAGAGAGTCCTAAATTCCTCGGAGTTGCTAATGCATTCAGTGGCGGTTTGTTCTTGGCCATTGCATTGATTCATATTTTGCCAGAAGCTGTTAGGGATTACAATGATTATTGGGGAGATGATCACAAGGATAGTGAAGGGAAGCCTGAAGATCCACCAGTGCCTCTTCCATTTATACTTGTATTTTGTGGTTATACTTTAATCCTCTTATTCGACAAAGTAATGTTTGACTCAGAGGCTCTTCTCAATCTCGGGAATGGCGGTCGTGGCCGTAGCGAAGTTAAACATTCTCATGGATCTCATGAGGATAATGAAGACCACCACGATGACAAACAAGGAGTACATGAGCAAGGTAAAGATAACAGCCATAGCCTCAATAATGTAAAGTATTAGCAGGAATACGTGGATCCTGCCATGGCAAAATTAGTTAGCAACATTAAGAATTCAATGATTAGAGCTGAAGAAGATATCAAGTCAGGTGGAAACGTCAAGAAAAGTATGATCCAAGAACTAGAAGACATAAGTATGACCATTAAGAATTATCTTTCAAAAACTGAGCAGTTTGCTGTCAGGATGTCAAATGCAGTTTAGAAATCAGGCATTAAGTCCTCTAAAGCAAGCTAAGGTTCCCACGAATAGAACTAATTGTTCGTTGACAAGTCAAAGATCAATCTCACTAAATCTTCTCAAGCTGATGCATAGACCCATGCTGAGTCACACAATGGTGATGAGAAGTAACCTGCCAAGTGCAATTTAACTCCATTTATGCTTATGATTGCTATGAGTATGCATGCCTTGTTCGAAGGACTAGCTTTTGGTCTTATGAATAATTTGCCAAACGCAATCAACCTCATGCTCTCAATTTTGATTCATAAGTTTGCTGAGGCTATGTCAGTCAGTATTGCTCTTTAAAAGTCTTTTAGTGAGTTTAGACAACTCCTAAAATTCATTATTTTATTCGCAATTGCAACCCCTCTAGGTACATCTCTGGGACTTATCCTTAATAATGCACCAAAGCTAGTTAACATTATCTTTGTATCTCTGGCTGGTGGTACCTTTGTCTACGTGGCTTGTTCAGAGTTAATTATTGAGGAGTTCACCATGCCAGGCAACAGATGGTTTAAACTTTTAGCTTTCATTCTTGGAGCCGTCTTAATTGGAAGCTTATTGTTCTTTGAAAACTGACTGATTATATTAACTTTAGCATTCCATTCATTCAAGTCTAGATAGATTAATGACTCTCTAGATTTAATCGTAAATATATATAAATCATCCAATTAATTAATAAAGATCTTTTCAAAAAGGCTAATTAGCAATGCAGGGGTTTTGGGGTTTTGGGGTTTTGGGGTTTTGGGG